AGGGCGTAGACTGAAAACTCCTGTCTTTCGACTCCACTTCGAGCGATATAATTATTAACAAAGCATTTATATACTAATAAAGGACTGGCTTATCTAAAGCCAGTTGAGTAGCACTTGAAATGTTTTAGCTCTAAGAAACCTGATGTACTTATATTATTCTGTTTTCTTCAAGTTTGTACTTTGTTGGTCGAACGCACTTATTGTAAGTCGCTTTGGATAAAAGCGTCAGCTAAATGCAATGTAATGTAATGATCGAGCATCGAGGAGGCTCTCTGGAGGAGCTATAACCGAGGTTAAACTTATGGTTCCTCCACGGCTTCTCCGCGGATGCATTTCCGGGAACGGTTGAGGCGTGACGCACTGCCGGACTTATCTCAGCCAATGACAGCTCTGCATGTATCCCCTGGATATTATTTTAAAAACTGCTTTCATCGCGTCGCGATGTTTCCAGAGAGAACAGCTTGAGATACCAGCGAGTTGTTTCCCCATCAAGCATTTTGCTCCCGCAGCCCGTGTAGAGAAACTGCGCCGCCTCACTCTCAAGGCTGCCGGCGTCTTAGTCACGCAAGATTTCAACGTCTCATGTAGGCGAGCCTCCAGAGCAAGTCGGACAAAATGACTAACCATCATGCAACGCACTAGCAAGACGGCGATCGCAATTGCGCAGGTCTGCGTCGGTCTCGCTCATCTCAAACAAGCCTACTGTCTCCCCTCTCTTATCAGTCACACCCATAACAGGATTCTCAACTCAACCAACCCCTTGTGTTTTGAATATACTGTGATTATAGAAAAATATAATGCATTTTCATTTTGGGTTATACAAGAATATATTTGATTATAATTAACTTTCGTTTTAAGTATTCAACCTAATATGGAGACCTCAATAGATGCTACAATGATCTGTTTGGTATTTGGAGCCAAACACTTCAGAGCCATGTTTTGTATATATCTGAGACCTATAATATATTGATGAAAAACAGTATAATAGGAGACCTATAAAGTTAACTACAGTATTTTATCACAAAATTCCTGTTGGGATGTATTTGCATTTTGTTTTTTTGCCATCAAACAAGTGCTTGCAAATGTTATTCTCACAATAGGACATTCAACAACTAACAGCAGCAGGTGGAGCAGGTCACTGTGCAGCATATGGAGCACAGACACACACTGATACTAATCCCTCTCTTGGTGCTCTGGCCTGTTTCCCAGATTGCAAAGTGTCAGATGGTTCCTGCAATCAGTCCCATGTTTGTCTCCTTTTTTCCCTTTTCTCTCCCACTACAGTCCTCTGCATCATCCTCCCCCCCTGTCTGTATTTCTACTGTGTTAAAGTCTGTATTCTCACCTTGTGTTTCTCTCACCAGACATTTGGGAGCGGGACCTGGTGGAGCTGGTGCTGGAGGTCTCTGTGTCGCAGGTCTCCCACCGTCAGCGCGACATGCTGCTGCGCCAGGTCGGAGTTTTACTGGGCGTGCTCGACAGTGACATCACTGTGCGAGACATCAGTGCGTTTAATGAGCACAGGTGAGTCCTACTGCACCATTAAGGCTAACTTAAGGGAAAAGGGTATAACCTGGACCATGTTTTTCCATGAACGATCCTCTCCATAATGGTTTCAGGCACTCATAACAACAATCTCAGCATTTTGGCTGCAAAAAATGTAAGCAGGATTCCATTAGAACAGAAGGTTTACTGTACTTTGCAACCGGTTAAACGACTGTTGGGTTAAGCTTTGTCCCTTTTTTAATGCTAGGCCAATTCCTTAAATGTTTGTCTACATTAGTCACTTATACACAAGGGCAAATGGAGTCCTGGTAGTAAACATTCAAAAAGAGTATTTTTAAGTTTTACATCTGGTCTGAAAAGCCTTTATTTTCTGACATCTGTTGTATGTCTGAATATCATTTTCAGTTTAAGTTCACAACATTTTCAAAACACATAACCATGAAAAAGGCTGGATTGTCTTGGTTTGGCTCGATTAGTGGTCATTACTTTATAACTAAGATTTGATTTCTTCCTCTTCCTGCCTCCTCAGCACTCGTTTGGTCTTCCTGGTGTCGGGCGGTCCAGGGCGCCCTCCTCTGTCCGGCCACAGCGTTGCATTCAGCCTGCGCAACAAACTGCGCAAACAGAAAAATGACTTTCTCATCTACAAGGCCCGACGAGTGGATACAGTTAGTGAGTACCCAATAAATATAGTTTGTAATAGATACACACAACAAAGGCCATGGAGTAAAGAGACAGATATTGTTCATTTGAAGCAGGTGGTCCTTTTGCTGGATATTAATTTAAGGCTAAGCTATGAAATAATATACAGTATATTAAAAGGTTCAAAGGTTTGAATGTCATTCACACAGCTAGTGTAGTTTTGCAATGAAAAACCTCGGTCACAGGTTCCTAAAACAACAACAAACAACAACAATATTAGTTGACAAGCAGTTTTACACAAGATTTGCAGATAGAATCATCTACAATGCGTCCTTTCAAAATGTATTTGAACACTTTGTCGCATGATTTTTTTGCTTAATGAGCAAACTCTTGAGACACCATAGGCCGGTCATAGGACCAGGCTGCTTTGATCTTTGACCCCTGTTTCCTCAGCTCAGATACTTTTCAGATAATGACGGTAATACATAGGACTCAGAGGTCAAATCTCCCAGATTTTTGACTTGTCTCTACATGTTCATTTTGTTTCCATCTTGACTGAAAGTTGTACGTTATCTTACTAAAAGCAACTAGTTATTGTTTATGCTCTTTGATATTTAAATGCTATGTTGTTGCTTCTTGGTTATCTGTTTGGTTTATTTACCACTATGGGATATTAAAGCTCTAGTCTCTCATTGAACATCCACTCTTTCTCTCTCTGTCCTCAGTCTGCCAGCTGAACTGCTCGAGTCACGGCGAGTGTGACTCGTACACACGGAGCTGTGTCTGCCAGCCTTTCTGGATGGAGAACTTTGTCAGAGCTCAGTTCGGAGATGCAGAGAGCAATTGTGGTGAGATGAGTTAAAAATCTTAATAGAATATTTAAGTGCATAAGATTTAATATGGCAGAAGCTCATTTGGCTATACTCTTCTTGAATATTGATGTTCATTACATAGAAATATCATACTTTATTTTTGTGTCTTCACTAAAAAAAAAATGTTTTCAGAGTGGAGCGTACTCTATGTGACGATAGCGTCATTTATGATTGTGGTTGCTATAGCAACACTTATCTGGGGAATGGTGTGTTGCTGCAACAGGTGAGCACAATTTCTAAAATATAAATGATTTATACGATTACTAACACAGTACTGTAGATGCATCATCTCTGTTAAACTGTCGTTGTCGTTTGTTCTTCTCCTCAAAGGCGTAAAAGCAAAGTCCGCAGAAGCAAAAGCAAATATAAAATGCTAGAAGCTGATGAGCAAGACAGTCTGGAGCTACATCCACCTAGAGCCGGTAAGATATACACATTTTCACCATCACCACCTCTACTGAAGTGAAGTGTCTTTTCCACTGTTTCATGTTTTTACCTGCAAATCCCAGGTAAAGTCTAAAACAATTGTAAAGACGCACAATCTAATGCTCACACTGCCAGTAATTTTACTTTTAGTTTTATGGATGTTTAGGCTGCATTTATATTCAAAAATAAAATATTATACTTGCATTTTGAATAGGGTACTGCGAAGGTAAACAAGTTGTTTGAACTGTAAACAAAACAATATGACTTTTCTATGATGATACCCATCAATGCTGATGTTAATAATGACATTTCTTTCTTTTCATGGGTTGTAAATGCCTCATCACGCCATCTACTGTTTTAGATCAGCCCTGAACTATGCAAAGCAAATGCTGACATACATTTGACCGGATAGGGATAGGACTTAGTTATGTCATGAAATGTATAATAAATGAACTCTATTGCCTTCTAAACAGAACCCTAACTGAGTAATTACTGCCTCAAAGGCTGAGACCTGGGGGTGAGGTTACACTCATTAACCAATCTAATGTAAACATTTGAAATGTATTGGATTTCTTCTCAATATCAGTTTTTTTCCCCCGGATTGTGCATTAGATCAAATATTTCTATCTATGAAACTACCTGTTTAATCAAGAACACAATTATTTGCTTAGTTCATGTTTGACAACGCATCATTTTAACATCCTATTTATTTCTGTCCACCTCTGCCTCCCACCAGCCCGCATGAAGCCGGTGCCCGCTCCCACCTCCTCCGCCCTCATGCACTCAGACTCTGACCTGGACAGTGATGAAGGGCAGGGCGGGCCGTGGACGGAGCAGGAGCGCGGGCATCTCCTGAGGCCCCAGAACGGCTCCCTGAGGAACGGACAGGGGCCGGTAAGGGGCAAAAAGCAAAGAGATGAGCGGCTATAGCAAGAGAGGAGGGGGCTCGCTGCTGGCCTCACACACACAAACACACAAACACCTCCTCCAGCTGACACTCCCTCTGTTCCTCACTCTTCCTGTCTCTCTTTTGTTGATCTTCAGCACAGAAACCTTGTACCTCTCATCCACGAAGAGAAACTGATTGATACGTCGATAAAGGAAGGGAACGAGAAGACGAACATGCTGGAAACATGTTATCCCACTGTCACAGAAACAAAATCACCACTGTACTGACACTTCCCTGCTCCCACACTGAGCCACTATGGAGGAGTGCTGCCCTTTCGCTGAGAAAAAGGGTCGAGCACTGTGTTTTGAATCGTGTAAAAATATAACACGGATTCCTTTTATTGAACACAGAGACATGAAGAATGTACTGTAATCCATCTTACTAAAGGCACGCAAAGATGCCTGAGTGACACATGACTTTTTGGATTAAAAAAAGCTTCAATGCCACGAGAACCAGCCACTTGACACGCTCACACCTTGCCTCGTGTAGACACGCATGTACGCACACAAAGAGGTCGTTTTCACACTGTTCCAGGTCAACCTGATGCTACCAAACTGCCATGTTAAAAACCAATGGTGAACTCTGCTCTGAACATTTTTGTTAATGGGCTACATGGTGAGCCCTTGGAAGGAAAAACACAACCAAAACAAGAGCAGACAAAAGCAATGGATGCTGCTCCATTTAAAAAAACAAATGTGCATGAAGAGTGACTGCAGTTCTGGTACAATTTGATACTGGAATGATCGCCTGCATGTTTGTATGGGTGGCTGCTGTGTCAAACAATGTTTCTTTAGAGCCAAGTGAACGTTTTTATTTCTGTTATTAACCCGTGGAAGGAATATTTACAATGTTGCAAGCATTGGTGACCAGATTCTTTAAAAAACAAAACATCATCATGCTTTTATTCTGAAGGTTTCTCTGCTGATGAAGGCTCTTGGACACACACTGGATTACACGACGTTAGTGAGTTCGGTCTCAACGGAGACGATAACGAGGAGAAGTTCACAACACAACTAATGGGACTGCTTCGTTTCTCACCTCGACATTCATTAATGTAACGACTGCTTGAACCATGAAAACCACTGAGTTCTTTTTTTGTTTTTCTACTAACAACCTTCAGGCTGTGATTAGATGTCGATGCACTTTGATTTCATGTCTGTCACCTTTAACCTAATGTTTTCTCTTGCTTGAAAAGGGAGATTTGTGATGGTTAAAGTTGGAAAAGCTCAGGTTCGTAACACACCTGTAGGCTTGAAATGAAAAGGATGGTGTAAGCTCAATGTATTACAAAGTAAGACTTTAACCTTTTTTTATCCTTTAGGGTAATTTTACAGTTTCTGTGCAATCTTTTTTTGGCCCCCAAATGTGATGACAAATGTATCCTTGCTTTTCTTTTGGCAAATATTCATTAAATTAAATGTGGGGATCATTAAAATAACTCAAAACAAATAAGAAGATCTGAATGGCAGAACCGTGACCTTAAAACAAACAACAAATGACATTTTATTTGGATGTAAGTGAGTTATGTTTCCAGAATGACCTGAAACTGTTAAAAAAAAAAATGTCTTCCTACAAATAAAATGAGCAGGATGTTTGTCTTTTGGTAAAAATACAACAGGAAGGCTGTTGGAACACAGAAGATCTATGCATATATTTTTCTGTGGATCTATTTTATGTGAAGACTTGAACCAAATGACTCTTCCCTTGCATGTGAAAAGTCCAGAAATGTAGTCACTTTTTTGTTGAATGTTAAAGGAGTACATTTTGCTTCAGTTCAAATTCAGTAGTCAATGTGAAATATGCAATCATTTAAATGTATTTGCGTAAAATGTCTATTTGATATACTGAATTTATCAGGCCTTCCTTTAGTAATTTCTGTGAGGCAAACAAATTATGCTGTACTCAAGTACCAACAATGTGAAATCTTTCAACATTATAATGTAATATACATCTTCCTGTGTTTTTGCACATAATAAGAAATGGCTTTTGGATACATCCCCAAGATTTGACATTGATTCCCTCTCGTTTCTCTCACACAACATGTGCTAGTCACTTTTGGTATTTATAGAAGTTAATGAATTGACCTTGACTCTGACCGATTCCACTATGAAGGCAGACAAAGAAAACTGGGAGAAACTGTAAAATGAAGGGAGTTTAATTTAAGATATTTTAGTTTGCTTTTAGTGAAGGATTTACCCCCTTCTTTACATTTGTGACCACATCTGATGCAACTGGATAATCTTTACATTAAAATAAAAATGTTTCAGTTTGTTCTTGACTTTTAAAAAGGAAATGTTTGTGCTTTATTCTTTGACAAACACGTCTGATGAAAGCCTCTGGCACAAAGGGTTCTCCTAAATTCATTCTATTTCCACTTCGTACTTAGTTTCCACTACAAGAATGCACACAAGCAACTTGCAAATTAGGACTTGTCCCCAGCCTCTGACTTCAGAATGAGGATTTATTTGCTATTGTGCATATCTCATTATCATGGCAAATGTATCCTTCTTGCATTGTAACATTTTTAATATAGTATTGCATATAGGATGTAATTTACCATACAACTTAACACCCCTATCTTTAACCCACCAGAGTGATATAAGCCATCATTGCATTCACATATCTCCCTCATAGCTTGTTTTCTCTCTGATTTGTATGAGGCCTCTGTGGTTTAAGTTTCCAGCTCCATTATTTACGAGATGATTCCATATCAATTTATGGTGAAAGAATGTTTGCCTACATTAACATGCAAGACAATTTGTAAATGTTTTTTTACTATATAGATATAGATGTAATCTCATTCTTTTTTTGTTTACATCAAATGAAATTAATAAAATAGGGCTGTAACAATTGGTGGGGTGAATCAATTAGTCAAAGGGCAAAAATAATCCTATAAATCAACATCTATTGATTGTGATCTTCAAAATGTAATAAGTTGCTATTTTTCTTTTTTTAACTTATTTTTCACTTACTTTTGTTAATTGATAATGCATAGATTATTCAATTGTTGGGGAGAAAAAGCATTTTGAAAATGTGAACTCTGGAAATGTGTATTAGGCACTATGTTTTAATTTATTTTAAAGACAAATAATAAATAGTCAAACACATTCTTAGTTGCGTTCCCAAAGTATGAGTGCAGAATAGATTCATGTTCTGCATGGAGTACTATTTGTTCTTGCTTGCAGATTTGCACTAGTGCATGTGTCTTTTTGAACAGAGAAAAAGAAAAAAGACTGATTAGTTAAGTCATATGCTTCCTGACTGAAAGAGGACAGCCCAGCAAACATGTTGAAGCATGACAGAGCACAGGAAGCATGCACCACAGAGGTGCTCCATACTACAGTATTAATGCAAACTACATGCCTGCAGATGAAAATGCAGTATGTATGGGATATGTGTTCTTCTAAAGGCATTTAAAAAAATAATAAATGCTATGATGTATTATCTGCTGCAAAGCCTTCCGATATGTCATGAGGAAGGAAAGCAGTAGTTTGTCTCTTTTTTCTTTTATATTGCTGCCCTCTGCCTCTCACTCCTTATATGGGAAAGGAATTAGTTGCGCGAACAAGGGCGGAAACGCTGCGCGGGGACAGCTGGGTAAATTCAGCGACATACAGGAAGAAAAAGAACAAGCACACTCTCCTGCAAGCTGCACACTCCTACGGTGACATACAGGACCAAATCACTGCTTGACCCGTTTAGCAGGTAAGAAAGATGCAGTTGTTTGGATGTGCGGTTAGCTTTAGTGTAAAACATAAAGATAAAGAGACAAAAGGGACACGCCGCTCCCTTCTTATCGCTGCAGCGAATCATGGAGAAATCATTTATTGAAATCGGTGTGATGCTAACACACCCGGCTAGCCTAGGATGCTAATGCCGTTAGCCGCAAAATCTGACGCTTAACCATTGCCTGACATACATACAGTTTCTGAATGTTTTATCCTTCTGTTAACTTCTTCTTTCTGTGATAAAACACGAGGGCTTGATAAAATGTGGAAACTTCTTCTTTTATGTAGACTGAGGCAACATTAGCTAATAGAGGGAGGGGTGTGAGAGGAAAAAAATCCAGGAAATGCCGAAACAGGACAGCAGTCGACAACAGGGAGGGGAAATAACGGATCAATTGGTTTATAAAAAGCTACAACTCTAAACTATAAAGCTTAATGTATGTTATAGGTTAGTCAAACAAAGGGTTTTTTACTTTAGCTCTGTCATTGTGGCCGATGGTGTTTTGACACATTGTGCACGCCCCGCGGACCTGCTTCCTCATTGATGAAGCTGCTGTCCAGAACAAGATAACATTATTTAGGAAAACATATGTTTACTTTTAACACTCAAGCTGTCAAAATTGTATCTTTTCCCCCTCATATTTAATATAAGCTTCACTTGTAGGTCTAGGGAGACAACACTTGCCGGGGACACATTTCCACGCAACACTCACCGGCTCTGCTAGCATTAGCTTTAGCATCCCTGGCCGTCTGATTGACTGCAGAAATGTGGTCGCTTTATGAATACTAATGACATGTTATAAATTACACAATCCATTGCTTGACACTTTTTTAATTTCCAAAATGTTATTATTAACTAAAAAATCTCGACAGTTTTAATGCAAATAAATGAATTTAGCATATTCAGCAATAGTTGTTTAATTAATTAGCCTTACAAAAACAGAACAGGCACAAAGTACAGGTGAACTGTGTGCATACTTCAACATGAGGTGGGGTGTGTTTTTCTTTTCTGTATTTGTATTTGTTCTTTATCAAAGGCCACATGGAGGACTTTGCTCTTATAATACAAGAGGAGCACATCATGTTCATCTTTCATTTTCAACCAAATGTGAGTCAATTATATATATACATCATTAAATATTAAGAGAATAACCCGGTAGGTCATCTGGTAGAGTGGTACAATTTGGGACAACATTTATTCTAAGTTTTAAAGAAGAAAAAAGAGTTATCTCCTTGATAAATACTGTTTGTCAAATGTACTTTTAATGAATTAATAGCATTGGTTATCATGAAATAAATCATATTTGTATTACCACTTTACATTGCACCTAAACAATGTAATTTTAATCTAATTGCACATGTTTCACTTAATATGTTCAAATTGTATTTTGTAGTCTGATTACATAATCCCTATTAAATTTAGCCTGTTACTACCCAATCCTGATCGCATTAACATCAGCGGCTTTGATTTGTTGTAGACCAGGTCCCTCTGGAGTAGGACTGAACTCAATGACATTGTTTTGGATAACTACTACTTATCTGCTTCTAACACAATTTAAAAGTTGATGTGTAACCCTTTATAGCAAAAGGACGGAAAGGCTACACACAGAAAATGTTCTTTGTCTGAACGTCTTGCCCTCAGGCAGAGAAACCCTCACACAGGCCTAACCTACTTCACACGCCCTGAATGCTGATGGTGCTTTATGCACACATTTGTGCCATATGTCCACATAAGTAGGTCTATGAATTCTCTGTTTTTTCGACAACACAGAACGTGTGTTACAAGATTTCTCTGTTAACCATAAAAGGAATGTTTCCTCCACCTCTGAAGTTGTGGTTAGGCTCCACGTTTGCCTATTATAGAACTTTGATCTAAGGAAAATGTTATGAAAGGCATGATTCCCTGTCTTTACTCATTGCTATATCTGCCCCCACGTCTCTGGAAAGTTGTTCGCTGACAGTTGAGGTCCCTTGGTGGTCAGCACTTGGCTCAAACATAGTATGTGGTCACTTTTCTTTGGTGCACTTACGGAAATGATTCCAAGCGTCTTAACTCGTATAGCAGCAGTGGAAGAAGTTTGTTAGTGACTATGATATGAAGATCTTTTTTGATAGAAATGTATACATTTAGTATCATGTTTGACTCCCACATACACCTTTAGGGGGCCACTCCCTTCCTGTGTTGCTGGTGAGTCATCTCTCAGCTGAGAGCAGCAAAGGTAACTTTGGACTCTGGTGCTGCTGAGGCACTGAACATTTAGGTCAAGGGTAGTAAGAGAGTTTGTGTCCTATGATCTAATTGAATCTTCAGGCCTTGTGGAGACAATCATTTAAACTCTATCTGAATGAGTGAGGCTGAAAAAGGGAAGTTTATGCATTTCAAAATGTGGCTGTACGAGTAGTTTTCTGTTGGCCATGAAGAGTGGTTTGGCCTTTTTCTAAAAATGTCTCCTACAGTATGCTGCTGACATACTGCCATATTGGTATGACTTCACCTAACATCCTAAGGGCATACATATTCTACTAACTTTATCTATGTAACCTGCCTCACCCAATGGTGCTTTAAGGTACTGCTTCTAAAAATAGGATAATATTGACATCAGGTTTGAGTGGTATAAATAGACGATATCTCTTTTAACAACTTCTGGTTGGTACATTTAACATTTTGTGTAACATTATATAATAATCCATTTTGAGATAGAAGTTTGTCTTTCTACAAAAGCCTTTGTTAAATATCTGAAGACACATGAACTTTGCCTAAATAAAACAAAGTTAATAGCAATTACTGAATAGTTTTCTTTTTCAGCTGTAGTGTTGATGTTTGATACCAAGCCACTCTCTTACGTATCCAAATAAAATTCTTTCCCTCCTGTATTAATGGAAGTCTCTTCAAGTGTGCCCCTAGCTTCACAGCCAAAGATTTTAAGTGCTCTCTGTCATTAAATATCTAAAGATGTAGACTGGTGTAGTGAAAGTGCCACTGTAGCAGCAGCTTTAGCTCATGTGGCCTTATTAATGAGAGTGGCCGTGAGCACCATTCACCGTGAGCTAGGTGTAAGTACCTGGGACTGGAGGCACTCCGTCACACGGGCCGAGGTAGCGTCAGGTTACACACATCTTATGTAATGTGAGTCTTTCTCATTAGTTGTGTGTGTATAAGAAGTTGGTTAATCATGTATTTAAAGGGGTAAGATAGGATAATCGGTTTCCATGTTGGCACACATTCCCGGGTCCCGACTGTGTTGTTTATCTGAGTAAGTGCTATGTTTGTCAGTGCTTCCTTAACTTGAAACTGTCGCTACTGGCCTTACAGTTTGGAAGTGTTTTGCTGTGAAACCGCTCTGCAGTTAACATATTTGGGATACAGGGCAGGTCTGCACTCTGCAGAGTGACTTGCAGTGATCCACATACCTTTACTCAGCAAGTCCTGACCTGCTTACCAACACAACTGTTCTTCTTTTTCCTTACGCAACCTCTTCAAAGGTGGAATTCACTGCGTCATAATGTTTAAGGGACATTAGAACGTTTAAAGCAGGCCCTTTCCCCTTTTTTGTTTCTGTCCATTTATATAGATAAAAGGGTTAAATTATCTCCAGATTTAAGTTATACGAAGAAGAACACTTTTGGTTGCAACCCTAGAGTTAACTATGAATGTTTGATGAACTTCAACTTGTATAACATAAACCTTTTATCTAGGACAGCCTGATCAGTGTTTGCAGGCTTTAAAATATACTGTAGGCCTACTTCAATCAAGGCTCTTTGGATACAATCAAGCAAAGGGCAAATGTGCTCAGGATCCCGCTGCTGTTTGTACTCCTACCAAAGCAGTGGGTTTTAATTGCTGTGATAGCCTTCACATTGTGTCCCAGGAGTTATTCAATCTCCAATTAGAAGACTACTTGAACAGAAAATACTCCTGTGACTGGAAGATTTAAAAACAATACACACTGGGACAAACAAAAAAATAAGAAGTAAAGAAACTTGTGGAGTTGCTGGTTATTATGTAAATGTTTCTTGGTGGTACTAGTAAACCTTTTAGCTCCTTCTTCTTTTCCTAAATCTGTTTTCCTACCCTTCCCTCGCAGGAATGGCTGAGTTGGCAGGTCTGGTGCAGCGGCTGGAGGTGGCGGTGGGTCGGCTGGAGTCCATGTCGGGCCCTGGAGGCAGCGGTGGAGCTTCTGCTGGTGGAGGTACATGATCAAGGGCCATTATCTTCGAAAAAAATTCTGCTCCAAAAAACAAACAAAATGTGGAACCTTCTATTTGGTTTGAATTGAGTTTGCATCTTTTTTCAGTCAACATGAGTGAAATATTTTTTGCCCACAATTATTCTTCAAGTAGATAAACAAGACCGCCGCTGCACGGAAGTGATTTGATTTGGATGTCAACATTCAGCAGGCAGTGATGCATCGTAAACCAGTCGCCTACTTTTTTGACTGCAGTTAAAGGGTGCGTTTCACTTCGGTTAAATGGATTGCTTGCGTCCCTCACTTGCGTCATTTCCCTGCGACTAGTCCCTCCCACCAGGGAAGCGTGGAGAGACGCAAGGAAACCACGAGAAGCAGGGAAATAAGTTTTAAGAGCAATGGGACGTCCTTTCCTCCGGAGCGTCGCGTGAAGCGAAGTCCGTTTGTAATGACGCCGCAAAGCTGATCGTCTGACAGCAGCCAGCTCTGTCCCCGTTATTTTCACAAACGCTCTGTTAGTACACATTTACTGACATAAACATTTTTATCATCTGTTCTAGACCCAAATAAATAAAATAAAATAAGAATTCATTCTCAAAAAAGATAAACGCCATTCTTAAAATGTATAAACGAAAAAAGCGATCATGAAAATGTTTCCATGAATAAAATGATTTTTGAACACTTTGTTGTTCAGATATATCACATATTTGTAACTAAATGATACATTAATTGAAACAAAACACGGTATAAACTGAGGAGTGACTCTCGTGAGTTTCATGTATTCTCTTCACTCCGCTGGGAAACTGCTCTCATGTCAAGGAGCATCAGATCAGTGCATGCGCTGCATCGTCCAATCAGTGAGCGATACACAATAAGGGGGTGGGGCGAGTATCTGAGGATTTCATCGGAGGATGATCTGGTGGTTCCTCGGTTATCGCTCCTCCGTTATCGCTCCTCGATCCTCCGGCAAAACTAAGAGCCATGGGACACTAGTCAAGATGGCTCAGACAAATCAACTTCCGGTGATACCGAGGAGTGAGGAAATGAAAATAGTCGATCTGAGACGCAGCCCTAGAAACCACGAGAAGCAGCAAAATTAGTTTTAAGAGTAATGGGACGTCGTTTCCTCCGGAGAATCACCTGAAGCGACGTCCGTTTGTGATGATGCCGCAAAGCTGTTCGTCTGACAGCAGCCAGATCAGTGCATGCGCTGCATCGTCCAATCAGTGAGCGATACACAGTAAGGGGGCGGGGCGAGTGTATGAGGATTTCACCGGAGGATGGTCTGGTAGTTCCTCGATTATCGCTCCTCCGTTATCACTCCTCGCTCCTCCGGCACAAATAAAGCCACTGGGACGGTACTCAAGATGGCGCAGACACATCAACTGCCGGTGATACAGAGACCGAGGAGCGAGGAAATGAAAAATAAGAGAAGTGAAACACACCCTATCTCTTTACATTAGTGATTGGAATTCCGGCTGTTTCGGCTCCCAAACGGCTCTTCATGTTACCACAGTTTACCACGGAGCCTCAGTTTCACCGCTGCGAGGCGGGGGGACAATCTTCAATATTCTGAAAAGAATCCCACCAGACTCCTTTGCACCTCCAACAGCGGGATGTCCTTGTCCTTTTTCCTTTTCGTCATTTCAAGCGATAAAAACTCTCGATCTTCTCTCGAATTATTACTCGGCTCGAGTTCAGGGCGTTCCGAGCTGAATAATGGCGTCAAATGACGGCAAGACGCCCCCCTGACGGAAACGCTGTTCACTGTCATTTAGCTCGGCTATTGTTCTTTAACTCTGAGAACGGCTGCACAAATGATTGCATCACATCGCAGTTAAGACAAGTGCAATATCCTATTCCAAAAGAAGAGGAGAAATGAGTAAAACATCTAAATGAAGTATTTTGGTGCTGCAGAGGAGTCCTGTCCATTTTTCTACAGACTTAATTAAAATCCTTTTTGAATAATAACAACATGATCACTTCAAAATATTTTTTAAAGATAATGTGAGAAATGTTTCAAAGATGTTAATTGCCTCTAATCAAATCATGTCAGAATTATAAATAAATGACAAAAAGAATGCCTCACTATGGTAACCAGCTTGTGGCTAACTGTCTGCCTGCTTCTGAAGTGTTTCAGAGGAAGCAGCTGCCTGCAGAAGGTAAACCAGCATTTAGGGCAGGACAGCTAAACAATGATATAAGCTCTGTAAGTATTATCCTATACGAGCGAGCCCTTTCAACACTTCACAATGTCATCAAGTATGTTAAATTGATTATAGACTATTTAAATAATAATCAAAACATCATTGATTTAAAGTATTTTTGGCTGGTAAATGTTTCACTCTATGATCTCTGAGAGCGATACATTCTGATGAGTTTGTGGAAATCCTGTATTTATATTTTATTAGCAATCACAGGGAAGGCTTTTAAAAGCGCCCTGATGTATCACTTCCTGTTTGCCCATACTAATGGTTGAAAAAGCAGGAATAAATCCTGATAAACAGAACATATATATGTGTATTTTCCATAAAGTACATCTTTTAAATATCTATAATTTAAGTCATTAATCAAGTACAAATATATTTGTTTTGTGTCTTATATGCTTCAAAGATTTTGGTTAGGCCCAAAAAGCAATTTGAAGACCTCTTTCTAATATTTGATATGTCTTAACTTATTCATTGAAGCCCCAGTGATACTGTGTTCACTTTGCTTATATGAAAGCATACAAAAAATACATTCCGGATCAAACTCGCATTTCAAAAGAGTGATTCCAGTGCTGCATTCTGGAGCTTTACTATTCAGCACAGAGGTTTGACATCCCTCAGCCGAAACCTCCCACACATTTTCTCTGAAATGTTTTCCAGTTCAGCAGATAGAAAACAATTCCACCTGCATGGGAACTGTATGCCCCCTTCTCCCACCTTTACCACAACACCTCCTCCTCTTCCTCCCCCTCCTTTCTCGTTTTCACAGTTCAAGCACATCCGCAGGCTGCTGAAACACAACCCTGGGGTTTGAGGCTCTCCACTCAATATTTCCTCATCAGAAAGAAGTGGCAGGCTAAAAGAAGTGAGGGGAGAGTGCAGCGACAGGCATGTGGACATTAATGACTGGCTGCTTCAAGTGCTACTGGCCATATCTCAAACTTTGAGCCCTAGACGTCCGTTACACAGAGGTTCACATAAGCAGTTAAGTGTGTTTTCCACTACCTGACTGCTGCTCTCCTGTAGTACTCCAGTAGGAAATGGGATTAATTAATAGCATTGATTGAGTAGTGATTCTTGTACCTTCCCATGGTCACAATGCACACTTGATAGATAACAATCGGCATGCAGTGCACTTCTGAATGATCGGAGATTCTCGGCTGATTCAATAGACTGTAAGGGTGTAGCAGTATGGAATAGATGTGAGAGGAATAGTAGAAATAATATCAAAAGCAGACAATGCATGAAAGAAAGAACATTGTCATGATTAGAGAACAGCTAAAAAAACATACTGCATAGTTCCAGCTGAGGAAGAACATGAAGACATCCTTCATACATCCCTTAATAAATCATATAAAAACAAAAACATCTGTTCCTATAATCAGTTCACCTTACACCAGAATCCACACATTCTGAAAAGGGTATTTCAGAGAGCGCGTACTGTACACCATTCATAAAACATTAAGGCAGCTTTTACTTATTTAATAATTGAACATGTTCCCTTTCACAAGAAAGGGATATGAAGCCTCTAGGAATGTGCAGAGCCATTTCTAGCTTTGTTGAGGACTATAAGAGAAAGCTAGGGAACAGAAACAGATGGAAAAAAGAAGATAGCTAAAACTCGAATGACATGTCTAGAGAATTCTTCAGTGTGCCCCTCTGCACCTGTCACACTGAGCTCTGCCTTCTCAATATTCCTCTGTAAAGTGCTGTGTTCTGTAGGGTATATGTAATACTATGTAAGACCTATAGATATCTCGTCATTTTACCCAAATTGTTACTTACTTGTTTGAATTTAATATCAAAGCAAACGTCTATATTGTCATTTGTATTTTTAGAATAAAGTGCTAAGAAACAGTAGAGATTTGGATTATTCAAGCCCACTAGCTTTTCCTTATTGATAGATAACTACCGTAAGTTTTACTACATTTACTCAAGTACTGTACATGGTTTAGGTACTTGTTAGACCCTCCAGAAAAACGCGGGCAAAAATCCTTTATTATGCGGGCTAAATTCCTTGATTATGCGATTAAACATGCAGGGTTTTTATGTGATTTTATGCGGTGAAATTGCGGGAAGTTGCGAAATATGCGGAAAGTTGCGAAATATGCTAAATATGCGGGAAAAAATAATAACATTTTTTTAATATTGGGCTGTCTTATTTATTCTCTCTCACACACAACCTGCCACTAACGTTAAACCCCTTTACTATTAAATTAAACACATTCAATGTTTATTTATTGTAAAAGCAATTGGGCTATTTTAATCTCACACACACAC